ATATGGGAAAGGGGCTTCTAAAATAAGGGTAATGGGAGATGTAAACTAAGGCGGGACTTCCCTGAGTTGTATTAGGCGTATCAGATAGGTTGTAAACTCCTGAGTGCGTTAGCCAATGGGGAAATGCAGGAGGGTCTTTTCGCTCGGGCATGGGGAATAAAAAGTGTGCTGGACACCCGCTGTTTTTATTTATTTTAATAAATGGCCATGCCTTGCTGCTTCACTGGATCTTTGTCTTCATTCTTTGGAACGTGAGGTTTGTTTCTCACACAAGCAAGCATAATCGGCGGGGATCCAGATGTAAAGGAAAGGCGAGAATGAACGATGCCGGGAACTCAGTCGAGCATCCGACTGTCATGGTCAAAGCACCAACGCGATGGCTTGACAGAGTGTGTTGCTTTGCAGAGCACGTTCAAGAACTGAGCTTGGAGGAACGCCCGCAGTTTCAGCAGGAAAGCCGTGTTCATCTGGGGAGGCATAACATCGGAGGGGGTAGCCCCTTTTCCAACAAACGAACGTGATTGAAAGGCAGAAGCTTTTGTGAGTTGCAGACGCCTAGGGTGGCCACGACATCTGAAGCTTGTGCACTGCCTTTGATGCATCCGGTGAAGTGAGCTGTAGCTCAAAAAGCTTCTAATAAAAGGAAAAGGGGCTACTCCCTCTGATTTTAAGCCTCCCTAGATTAACCTCTGAGCACATGGAGTGGTGACGTTAGATACGCCCGTGTGCCATGCAGTGCGGGGGACAGGTCCTACCTGCTGAATGTCACCTCCAAAGAGTCTAGCACAGTGTTTCTCAACCTTAGCAACTTTAAGATGCGTGGACTTCAACTCCCAGAATTCTCCAGCCAGCGTGCTGGCTGGGGAATTCTGGGAGTTGAAGTCCACGCATCTTCAAGTTGCAAAGGTTGAGAAACACTGCTCTAATCTATAAAATCTAACTCGTGAAACCTTGAGTTATTTCATAATGACAGAATGGCACTCTGCACATATTCAAGGGCTTTTTCAACATAGTTTAACATGAATGGCGTTAAGATGAGATGATCTCCAAAGTCCCTTCCGACCCATACATTCTTAGGCAGGCAATCATAACTAATCCTGGAAGAAAATCCTAGCCCATCATCTCACAAATTAAATGTTGAGTCAGTCAACAGATTCATAATGCATCTTGAGAATGACAAATTGTATTCTGCTCCTAACTTGGTTTTCAAAACGCAAAACAAGCTTGGCTTTGATTAGTACTCAGATGAGAAATCACCAGGAGTTACCAGAACTATAGGCTAGTGTGGGAAATTGAAAAAGCAACTTCAAACCGCTTGGATGCTTTTGCCGAAAAAAGTACCTGAGCATGCCATGAAATCACAAAGAGACAAGCTCAACTAAGAGATGATTTACTTTAACCAGTGATATAAAAACTTGCTTTGAAAAGAGTCTTGACATGGATGGAGGAAGAAATAACAAGACCCCAAAAGTCCAGCCAAAGCAAAACTGGTTAAATATATAGCTTGTAAAAAAAAATCCATTTGAAATACAGCTAATTTTAATTATTTAACCCTACAGATTTTTTCTTTCACTTTTGGATAGACCCAGCTTAGCTTCTTTGTTTCTCACCCTTTTTCACAGGCAATACAAATTTTGGAGCAGTTAGCATCTTCTCCTGGCTGATTAGAAATTCTGTCATGATAAAAAGAAGAAAGCAGAGCATGCTGTTGCTACTCTCTGGCTTTGAACACAGCTTAAATTAGTTGGAAGCAAAGCGACATTCTGCAGGCTTTGTTAATTGGAAAAGATACAAATAGAATTGCTTGGGAAAAGATACATCACTATTCATTTTCAGATGCAAGTATGAAAAATAAAAGGTCAGGCAAAGCAGGTTAGTGAAATTGGGGAAGCACTAGCATGATATTTTTTCACTTTAGGTCGCTCAACCTTTCTCATTACCAAAAATGAGAGCTTTGACATTTCAGTCATAAGTAGTGTTGGAAAAACACAAATTACTTTGACTGCTGGATGCCTTCACGGTTATTCAACATTCTAATACTCTTCCACAAAGCATAGATTGTCAAAGAAAAACGCTGCCAGGAAAATCTCTATCAATTCAACCAGCTCAGATTTTGCAAAAAGCACATATCCAACTCCCCCCCAAGTGGATCTGTTCCTTTATGACATTGCATGGGAGTAAGGAAAAAAAATACCAAAAAAAAAAAAAGAATAGAAAAGAATCTGTGGTCTCCACAACACTATACATTGTAGTAAGCCCTGGTTCAATCCAAAACTGAACGATTACATGATGGCTAAGGATAACGTAAAAACCTTGTCACTTATTCCATCACTCCATTTCAATAATTTCTAATACATTTCAAAAGTTCTTTGAAATACCAAGGGAAATCCTGAAAGGGTCAGTGTCCACCATGTACTCAAAGCAATTAATGCGTGCAACTAGATCCAACAACCATCTGCCTTGTGCATAGGGTTCTGAATATAGTTTTGGGTAGCAGAAAAGTTACTCCACTGAGGTTTTCTACGGGAGTGTAGATCAAGAAGAAATCCATTTTACCCAGGGAATAAGGGTAGGTGCCTTCTCCAACAGAAAAAGAGTTAAATGAGTCTGCTGAACCCTGGTAATAAATGAATAAACCACCACTAGAGGAGAAAACCATGGTTTTAAAACCAATAGAAGCTGCTTTTGCACCATACGGAAACTAAAGAAACCCCACTGTAGCTTAGCCACTGATTTCAACAAAAAAGATCTAAGCGAAGGCTCCTCTGGATTTTAGTGACTGTTGCCATGCACTGACTTGTCAGCAGCTGTCCAGGCTTCAAGAGTTTTCTTTTCCCCAGCTTTACATGGAGATTGTGAGGGTCAAACTTGGGACCTCTGGCATGAAAAGCCCCAGCTCGACCTCTAAGCTCTGCTTCTTCCTGACCCTTTTAATGATTTCAGCAACAGTGCCAGCACTTTTATTTCCCCACATCGTATCTCGTAGAAGAGTGAACTTTTTCTTCTCTGGCTGACATCCTGGACCTCTTATCTTGTATACCAAATACTTTTAGCACTTTCCCCTGCCCGGCTAGCCATGAGTATCCAGAGATGCCTTTCCAATGCAATCGCTGCATTTTTCAAGACAGACCGCCACCACCTGTTTTAGTAAACAGAAACCCTCTTTACATTTTTGCTTTCAGATCTGAGATAATGATGAAAAGCCTACCAGCTGGGCCTTCCTACACATCGTATTCAAGAAACTAACCCTCAGGGACCAGATCAATCCAAGAACAGGAAAAAGAAGTTTCTTTTTCACATAAAATGATATTTACCTCAGGTTGCTACTCGGGAGTGTTTCTACTCATGGATTTGGACTGAGAACAAACCGTATACATATAGTAAAACTTACAACTCAATGCAGCTGTCTCATCACTGTGCCCTCTCTACAGCGTGGGTTAAATGTCCTCCCTAAATCAGAGTCCTCCTGATCCTCTTCCACTTTCCTCCACCAGTCCTCACCCTCCTGCCTACCAAGGGTCATTTTGCCCTTCCTAGCAAGGGGAAAGAATTTCATCCGTTTGCAACCATCAGCCACTACCTTTGGAGCCAGAGGCAGACTAAGAAAAAGATGGGGGTATATGGTTGCAAGGAATGGGGAAAAAGGTTCCTCCACGTCTCCCAGGACTGAAAAACAGGGAAGAGTTTGCTGCAAGTTGCGTCTGAAAAGATAGCGTAAAGGCAAGGCAGGGAGAAAAAGCAGGTAGAGAAATAGATCCACAATACAACATTCATATGTATACATTCATTCGACAACAACCAAAAAAAAAAAAAGGCGTGGAGGACTCCACACAATGCATTTTTAGACCATATGAATTTTTCTGGGACCCAGGATGCTTTTCAAGTGCTCAGCCCCTAATGGGCTGAAGAACCCAGACAGTATTTATTAGATTCATCTCTCGCCTTTTTTTTTTTTTTTTTTAGTCCAACTACAGGCAGCATACATAATCCTCTCATCTCCTATTTTCCCCACGACCATCACCCTGTGAGGTGGACTGGGCTGAGAGAGAGCGACTGGCCCAAAGTCACTCAGTCAGATAACTACATGATGCTATATAAGTAGTCCTTGGGTTGCAACTACTCGTTTAGTGACCATTCAAAATTATGAGAGGGACTTACGACCAGTCCTTGAAGTTGCAGCCATCGCAGTATCCCCATGGTCACGTGATCTCATGCCAGGCACTTGGCAACCAGCTCACAATTACGATGGTTGCAGCGTTCCACAGTCACGAGATTGTCATTTGTAACCTTCCCTGCAGGCTTCCCACAAGCAAAGTCAATGGGGAAACTGCCAGGAGATCGCAAGTCGCTCCCACTGCTTTTTCACCTACCTGCCCACACTCCATAGTGCCCGCCCATGGCACCTGCCCACCCACCCTCCATAGTGCCCACCCACAGCACCCACACACACACACTCCATAGCGCCTGCCAGTGTTACCCACCCACTCACAGCTCTTGCCTACTGGCCTGCTTGCCTGGGACTCCCACCATAACCCATATTGTGGTCATGTGAGGTCCTTGCTTAACAACCTGCACAGTCCTACGGTTACATTGGCAACCCAGACTGCCAGGATTGCCATCACTAAACAATGAGGTCACATGACATTGCACTTTGTGACCACATTGCTTAGCAACAGAAATTCCAGTCCCAACTGCCGTCATAACCTGAGGACTACCTGTAATGACCAGGCAGATACCCATGATAAACTAAGGCTGGATGGCCATCTCTCAGGGATGCTGTAGTAATAGATTCTAGCACCAGGGAAGAGGTCAGACTGGATGATCTCCAAAGTCCCACCAAGACTTACTTTCTATAATTCTATGATTCATCCAAAATAAAACCTATGTCAATTCAAAATACAGGCCTGTGCTTTATTGTAAATAAAACTGAATCTGAAAAGGAAATAAATAAAACACAGATGAGATATTTTTATGAACCAGCTCAGATTCACAAACACAAATTGATTTTTTCCCTAAAGCATTCTAAAATCTCCAAACTTCTTTCCCTGAAAGCCACCCAAAGATTAGGATCCCCAGTGCACACCTCAATCTCATGGGTTATATATACACAAAGAAAACACTCTTAAAATAAATAGGTGTATCTTCCAAATATTGGTGCCACAGGGAAAGGACACAATAAAATAATCAGCAGTGAACATGCACAGTAATTTTATGTATCACACTAAAAGTATAATGTATATCAGAATGGTGAACATTTAGGGCTTGGCTGTTTTTCCTTCATTAATGTTTTTTTTTCCCCAAACCATTTAATCCCAACTGATTGCTTCTACTCCTCTTCTGTTTCCTGCTGTGAAATCACACTGATGAAGCAGTGCTTAAAAAGAGGGCTGTAGGAGACTATATTGTGATCATCAGCTGCCTTCTCAATTAATTTTGGAGTTGCAGATATTGTCTGCCCAAGTCCAAATTCCCACAGAGTCTTGAGTCGGACGCCATGCTGTGGGTCGAGGCTGGGTGGACCTAAAACAAGGCCAGAGCCAAAGTGGACAGTGCCCAAGGGTGGATGGGGCCAACCATTCTCTCTGTCTTTCTAACACTCCCTTTTCTCTGGACTTATATGGTCTTCACCACACAGCAGGTTGCCAAGGACCTAATATCTCTTTTAAAGATCTGAAATAACCATTGCAAAAAGCAACAGAAAATTAGGCTGATAGTTCCCTGGGGCTCTAGAGTTAAAAGTTGCCCATCACTGAAACAGAATTAGGATATATCCATTTCTAGATTTCACAGTGAATCCTCCTTGAACATGCATTCCACATCCAGCACCACAAAGAATGATGGGAAATACTGTTGCTGGCAAAACGTTAGGAAACAAAACTTCCAGAACACGGCCACACAGCCCGGAAGACCCACACCAGCCATTGTATTTCGGCTGTGAAAGCCTTCAACAGTACATTGGAAATACTGTTCTTTGAGTTCTGAGACACAGATTGTTGACCACTGCAAACCTTTAAAGATCTAGTTCACCTGCTCTACTATGCCATGCTTACTTAATTATGGTTTTTTTAACTAAGCCACAACTGGCTACACTAACACATCATACTAAGCCATTAACCAAAGCTTACAAATCACAATGGGTTCAGACAATCATGCTTTGTACAATGTACAAAAACAAGTCACCTGGTCAACTGGAAACATATTGACATATTTCTTGCTGTGTACCTGTACTGGCTCAAGGGTCAACACTTCCATGGTTTCTTGCATGCCTGATCCACTTCTATCTTGTAAATTTTCCCAATGTTATATATACATAGTCCATTCGTGCTCAACATCTTGACAGATCTTTTGCTTGAGTGTTATGTATAAACAGCTTAATGTTCCATGTCCAAAATGGTCACATCACACAAAATCATAGGCTGTGCTCAAACACTTAAACTGAAATTCAATTGATTAGGATTTGGCTTTGGGTGTATAGAATGAATACCATCACTGTAGTTTGTAATCCTGAATGTTTGTTTATAATCCATGAACCCAGCCAACTGAGATTTATTCAATAAAGCCATACAGAGCTTTAAGCAATAGGTGAACCTCTTCATAAGTTGTTTGACTCTAGAGTGGCATGATGTAGTTTATAAATAATTGTTTATGCTTTTCTGACTTAACATAATGTGTGATCCTAGCCAACTATGGCTTATTCAACAGGTGATGGTTAAGCAAATTTTACACATAACGTTGTTGTGCAAACTTTATGTCCAAATGCAGTCCAAGGGTCTACCCATTTTCAATCACAGATATTAATAGTTTCAGACCTGATACATATCTCACAGTAGGTCATGATTTGTTTGACCATGGATTACTGAATATATCACAATGCGTTCACACGCATTCACACAATACACTGTCATAAGCCATGGCTGGGTTCATATAACATGCTAGGTCAAAATAATTAGTATAACACATGAGCCCAGTTCTATGAATCAGATTTCTAGTGTGTGTTTGTAAAACATAAGGAACCCCAACTAGCCAATCATAGCTTAACCTGGCACATTATGCAAACCAAGCCCATATAGTTATTTAATGGCTCAGTGTGTGATTATGTTCACTGAGTAAACCATAGTTCAATAAGTATGTCATAGAAACCTTGTCCTAATTCCTCAAGATCCTTTCTGTCTCAAAGTTCAATAACTATCCAGATTGCATACATCCTAGAAGTTCATAGGTTCTTGTCAAGGTCTTTGGATTTTCCAGATATTTAAAGAGCAATTTAGAAAACACCAATTTACTTTTTTAATGGCTGATATCCTGTAAGAGAGAAAGATGTTTCCAAGCCAAGTCACATGAGCAGAAGCCATGCAACATCAGCAGTCAGGAACCAGTCTGATGCAGACAGGTATGAATAGTGAAAACTTTGATAGCAATAGACCATGTATCACTATATGTCTTACCATTGTTACATCATAATATATAATATGAACCTCTAGAACAGGAACAGATAGAGGTGAAAGAAAATATCAGGGTGAAAGTAGGAATAGGTAACATTTATTGAATACCTTTATCTCTCATTATTCCTCCAAGAGTGCCCACCCATTTTATCATCTCAACATCTTATGAAGTAGGTTAAGACTGAGAAATTGGCCCAAAGTCACTCAGAGAGATTCATAATCAAGTGTGGATTTGAACTGGGGTTTCCCCAGTCCGAGTTCACTACAGTACACCACACTGGCTCTTCCACTTAATCAAATGCAGGACATTACAGACATTATCTCGCTACTGTTTCCACTTAAAGAATAATTACTTCTGCTGCATGGTTAATTGTTCCTTCTTTTTTTTTCTTCCTAATTTTACAAGACACCATCTAGCAGGATAAAACTGCAAAATTAAGAGTGCTGCAAGTACAGACAAAAAGTAAATGCAATTTTATCTGCTTCCTTTAAGGCACATCGGGTTTTTTTCTTGCTGGGTATGAACTCATAGTAGACACCTCCCTATTCCAACAGTATTTGTGCTTTGACAAAACTCTTATGCTAAAGGTTTTTTTAAAAAAGGAACTATTGTAGTGCTACTGATGACAAAATCCCCAGCCCAAAGGTTTTGAGAACTGACACATCACTCCTCCAAAACTAAGAAAACAGACTGACTTCTGAAGCTGCTTAAGAAAACCTTTACCAATCTCCATTGAAAGCATAACATATTGCTTGCACCTACTACACAAATAAATGCTAATGGACATAATCTATAGAGTTTTCATATTACAAAGTTAAATTCACAAAACAATTTAACTTCAATTGGGCCAAAGGCTATCAAGGGCCAAGTTGTGACACTCAAAAGGGGAAACAATCTGTGGGATGAACACCAGTCTTTTATCCAGCACCACCCATCCAAAATGTGGATCTAATGAGAAAAAATATTACTCTCTTATATATACCATACTATAGAAAGACACAGTTAAGGTCCTTAAATCTTTCTGGAGCAAAAGAGAGATTCTCTCTCCATCTCTGGATAATTGAGACATGCATGCTGTCAATATGCAGTTTATATTAATCATTCAAGAAATAAGGAAAGCCCAAAACCTAACTGCTTCCAGTGCACCACAAATATTTAAAGTGCAATCCTTTTGTGCACATTTAATTGAAATCAGTGGCACTAAGATCAGTAACACTTGTTTGGAAGTAAAGGTGCATATAGAATAGGATCCTTTCCCCTGATCAGATTTAATAACTTAATAACCAACAAGGCATGCAGGTTTTCCACCCTAATTTAAGGGGGGAATGATTTTCTCCAGGTTTTCCCGACCGCTTTTCCTCTTCCACCCCCGCTTGCGAATGAGATGCAGATCTTTGCTCAGAACAAACCAGTAGTAGGAAGTGAATGGCCGCCTGGAAGGCAATAACTTTAAGCGGAGCCCGGATCTCACTGGATTGTACAGTTTGAAAACCATGCAGCGGCTGCACCGTTCGCTTTGAAGAAAATCTGTGCCGGAGAAATCCTGGCACTGATTTCTCGCTCCCTGGCTCCCTTGCACACCCCCTCGCAAGGGGACAGCGACTCTCTCCCGAAGCCCGTGGCCCCACTCCGCTTCAAACAATGGATCAGCTGCTGCAGAGACAGGGAGATTTCCTTCATAACATTCCGAGCCGAGGGCGCCCTTTTCCCCTTGGGGCGATAAAATAAAAACCCACCTAAGGATCGCGACGGGATGCGGACCTCCGCCCCCGCCCCCCATCGCTGCCTGTTAAGAGTCCTTGGAGTACGCTGGAAAAAGGAGGATTTAAAAAGAGAAGAGGCCGACGGAAACCCCCCGTTTTCCGCCTCCATTGGACTATCTGCGCCGCGCTGGACCGGGGTGGGGAGGGGAGGCAAAGCCCACTCGGTCCGCACTCACCAGCACAACGGCGAATCTCTCTTCCAGCTCGCCCGGCTCGGGCATCGGGAGTTTGAGGGGCATATTGTGCGCCCTGAAGTCCGTCTGCTGAGAGTCCATGCTCCCCGCATTGCC